TCCCCTTTGCCTTCTCTTTAACAGGAAGATTTCTCAAGTCTGTGAGTGCTCAGAGCAGCAACCACTGACTCTTATCAGTTAACTTGCAGAGGGAAGAGGAAAAAAAAGTTTGGGATCTCTCCTATAGCAGAAGAAGGCATGAAAAAAAAATAGTAGTAGAAGTTTGTTCTGGTCTGCCAGTATTTCTGGACACCTCTGACCACAGGGACTTATTGACCTCTTCAGCACTTCTGAGGAGCTGAGAGAGTAATTTCAAAGAAATTTAGAATACTTTCTGCCCATTGCAAGTATCTGCCTTGCAAGTCCCTACACCCCCTTCAATCTGTCCAATGGAAGCAAGGGCACAGGTGATGTACTAGCTTCAATCTTGACACTTCTGACCCAACTACCATAGTGGGTACAATAACCCAAGGTTTTTACTAATTTGGGACTAGACAGAAGCCAGTCAGCCAGGAACTAACACTGACAAGACAAATCCTGTCAGTTGCAGGGAAAAAAGAGAAGCATCAGCACTTCTGAAGTCTCTTTGAAGAGACCAGCCAACTGGAGAATATGCAGAAACAAATGAGATTACAAATAGGTACAAATGGGAGGAGATAAGGGTGGCATAGTTCTTATTTTGGGAAGGACCTTGTCACAGTGATCCCTTCAAAGTAATTAACAACTATGTTCTGAAAGTTCATTTGAAATGCACACCTATCCTCCACCCCAAGAAATATCACTCCACAAGCTGTGACCAATTTATCATCACTATTATCACAAAGAAATTTGTTTGCTGTGGCATTTCTGGCTACTTGCAGATACCTACAATAATCCCACAAGACAATATCACAGACTAGGGCACATGTTACTGCACAGAGCAATTTCACTTCATTAACTCAGCAGAACACCCAGAAAAAAAATATAATAAAAAACGTGTTTAAACAGAAAGTTTTCTACCAGGTTGAGAAGGTGATTCAGCTGCAGGTGTGCCCAGAAAAGTGCCAGAACTGCAATAAAAGCAAGGAAAAGAAAGACTCATACGTCACAGACATCTCCCTCAGCAGGAGCAAAGAGCACTTCAAGTTCACACCAAGACAGCACTGCTCCTGGACCACTTGGCTCTCCCGGCTCAAGCTCTGCTTTTTGGGCAGGGACAATATGCTAGAGGCTCAGCCAAATTGGCATGAGAATGATCAAATCAGTGGCAGATAGGTAAAATGATTGCCATGTTGCTTTGGAAAGAAGATGACTCAACCCAAATCAAGTGGGAAGTTGAGAGCCAAGAGAACAGCATTGCAGGAAAACAAGGCATCTGGAGCATAAAAGCAGCCACAACAGGAATTCCCTTGTGACTAGACATGAAATATTATTACATAATCGCTCTGAGTGATTAAAACACAGCCTTCAACTAACCGCTTCCCTCTATGCCAACCTCAAGAGGTGGAATGATCTGGAATGTTGTGGGTGCACACAGAGGGATGCTGTGCCATCAACCTCTGCAATTTAATCAAGCCTCAGTCCTTGCCCATCGTCAGCTTTTGGTATCCATTATACAAATTAGCATGCCAAACAACAAAACCTCACTTAATGCAATCAAACACAGAGGACAGGCCATCCAAGTAACAGAGGGGAAAAAACCAAAAAACATGAATCCTGTAACTAAGAGCTTCCATGAAAAAGTTGTCCGAAGATGACAGCTGGATTTGCAGATGGTCCGAAGATGCAGGCACTAAAGATTAGTGAAAGAGTTAGAAAAGTCCCTGCTGAGCACACGCTCCAACTTCCTGCTAAGCTTCATGTTTAGTTGTCATTGTCATTTAGTTGTCATGTTCAGCTGTCATTATGTTGCTCATTGTGTTAGTGCTAATAATTTACCTGAAGCATCACTGTGCAAATTGGTAAAATGAGACCTCAGGTTTCTCCACGGCAAAAAAAAAAAAAAGAGTATTTCTCAGCATCCTTCCTTTGGACAGTGTACTCTGTTTATAGCAGTATGGTCATGTTGTGATAAAGAATAGATGAAAATCTTTAAAGAAGCATTTAGCAGTGAAAAAGTCTTGCAAGTGCTAAAGGAAGAAATTTATGTACAAACCAAGCTGAAGTTCAAGATTTATGTGCCAAGTCAGGACATTAGCTCAGAAGGGTGATTTAACATGGCCACTGGAATCCCTGTGGTTAAATTATGCATCTGACCTCTTCCCCATATGTATTTCAGCAGTGTTAAATAATAAGCACTACATCCTTTATTACCATTTCCAGTTCTAATGAGTGGCAGCACTAAAAAAAGCACCGTTCCCAGTGACTCAGTCAAGGAGGTCAGGATAATGGCAGCATCTAACACAGAAATGCCAGTCTTCAAGGAAGGTGCAAGGCCACCCCTGGCTCCAGCAAAGACTCAGAAGTGGGGCTAAACAAAGCACTGAGCAGGGCTGGAAACAGCAAGATCTCCACTCCCTCAATCCCAGTCATGACACAGGCTGGGAGAAAATGGGCATCGGGGAAGGGAGAGCGGAGAAAGCCTGGACAGAGATACAGCATCTGATGAAGGGTGCTACTAGGAGAGAGGCTATGGAGACAGTGGAACTTAACACTGTTTAAGAACAGCTATCCCACTCCCAAAGAAGACGGGGTGAGGGTGGGGGGATGTCTCATGTGCACGTATATCAAATGTGCTTTGTGTTAAATAACCAGAATTGTTTCATTGTTTCTGAAGACAAAGCAATGATGGAGCATCCAACAGCTATTAGCTCAGACCGCTGAAGATAAGTACAAGAGGATTTACTGGCCAAACAAAAGTACATTTTTTATTAATATACTTTTGGCTCTCCTTATGATATTTCAATATAACCCCTGGCTACTACACAGATGAGCGTATATTAGACTGAGATTTAATAAAACTCTATTTAGAAAGATGAGAACATTGCATAATACATTACAGAAACAAACATATTTTTGAGGGGAGTTAAGGAAGATCTGAACATCCAGTCTCTTGAATTCGCCCGGAGCAGCCCGTTTTTACAAAGGACAGTGAGATGCATGTAAGAGGAGTCAGCAGTTACAAGAAGTGCTCCCACAGTATCAGAGCTCCTGGGGGTTGATAAGAAAGGAAGTCCAACTCAAGCTATGCTGTTGTTCTGCCTGAATTTTTCTTCTCTTTCTTCATTAGGATAAAAACAGACAGAACACCCACCCAGAAAACCCCCAAAATAAAACCAAAGCACAAACTAAGGAGGAATCCCGACCCCAAGAAAACAACCTAATTATAATTACATGGGATTACAAATCAAAGTGAAAAAGCTGCCAAGTTTTTGGAAGTGACCATACAATAAAAATAAAAACTCCACACTGGAAAAACCCATAGTCTCAAAAGATTATTATTATTCTTTCTAACAGAAAACAAGACAGCAGGGGCCAAAGATGTTTGTTTATCTCTTAAAATTGATCTGCCCTTTACCACAAGTTCTTCCAAAGAACACTTTTTTTATTATTTTTAAAGGAGCATGCAAGACGGCAAACTAACTCTCCCTCGACCTTTTGTGGCCAACTTGATGATGACCTTCAAAAGGTTCAAAGTTTTAAAAAAAATAATTTCACAGTTTAGACTAAAAAGATATATTTCAAGATAATTTTTTCATGCTAAGGCATCAGTGTTAAACACCCAAACATATGAATAGCTCAGTCTCTGAATATAAACAGAACAAAATCTGACTCTCTTAAACATTTAACATCACTATGCATTTCTGTATCACAAACCATTCATGTCTACCGTGCACCTGTGTTTTTCCCATGAAAGGACTGTAGCTGGGTTACTTTTTTTTTTTTTAATCCATTCTGGGTACAAGGTTTTGAGGAATTTGCTTTACCTGCTTTTTCCCTCTTGCACACGCTTTCAAGGGACACAAAGAGAAACCAAAATGATTTTCAATGATTCAATACAAATGTGTGCTGGCTGACCAAAGCATGATCATGCCAGTCATCCATTTGTTACTGCATTTCTTTATCCCAACTAGATAAACACAGTTAAGCCAAAACACTGCTCCCAGGCAGGAAGTAATTTTTGCTGATCTTAGGAGGGGATCTTGAGATTAAGGGAACTACTTCCCTGGTGTAACCATTTCATTTTACATTTCCAGGAGCTCCAGTTGCCTGTTTATATCAGTAAGGCCCATCCACAGCCAGTAGGGTTTTCACAGGGCTGATACTGCAAACATGCAAGAGTTTTCAGGTGAAAAGGCAAGGCGGGTTTTTTGCATGCACTATTCGGCAAATAGAAAGTGAGTGTAGAAAGCGGCACAGTCTCCTCATTAGAAATTTTCCACTTTAGCCATTACATGAGGTAACACAAAACAGAGCAGCATGCACTTTCTGCCTCTGGAGTAAAACAACTGAGACATTTCTTCTTTAACTGCTCTGCCAAAACAGTTATCAAGTACAAAAGCAGAAGAATTCAGCAGAACTTTGTCTTATTTCACTCATCACCACCTCTTCAGCTTCCCCAAAAACCAACCTGGTTTTTGGTTTGTAGGGCTGCTTCAGGATACTTGCACAAAGATCAGTGATATTACAACTGCAGTCTGCTTCACAACCCTTTCCCCTTACTAGCTGGGGACACATGCCCTCAGCATCCTTCCCACAGACACCCATGTCCAGAGACAGCAGGACATCTACCATTGCCAGGATCCCAAAGAGACACATAGGATCCCGTTTCAGGACATAACTTCGCAACCCAGTGCCACAACCAGTGCCCAGGTACAAGTCCACACGATGGACACCTGGCATGATGTGACACCCAGGGAGGGAAAGGATTGCGGGGACGTGGGATTTACCTAATCCTAGTGGGAGGGTAACTCACAGGGACTTGACTGACCCGGCAGCAACATGCAAGGCCAGATCCGCATCGTGTCCAGCTGCTCCCCTTGTCCTGGAGAGAAGGGGCGCTGAGGGAGGCCAGGGTCGGGCCCAGGGGTCCGTGAAGGCTGATGAGGGAGGGGGGTGCCGAGGGAAGTCGCCTTTCTTACCTTGCTCACGACGTTTTGGACGAGGCCGGCTCTGATGCGGTAGTGCCACTCGCGGCAGCCGCACTCGCTGGCGTTGCCCGTCGCGGGGGTTGGCAGCCCGGGCGCGGGGGGGAAGATGCTGCCGTTGCCGCTGTGGTTGGCGTGGATTGGCGCCAGGGTCCCGCTCCAGTTGCCCTGCCCGTCCGCCTCCCGGCACCAGAAGTCGGGCTGATCCAGGAGGAAGGAGTCCGAGAACTTGCTGAAGCCGATGACGAGCGCCGGGACCCAGGTAAGCAGCACCAGGGTCCGCTGGTACCGGCCGCCCAGCCCTCCGAGGAAGGGTAGCACCGAGCCGTCGTAGTCGAGGAGCAGCGGGCTGCAGGCGGCGGCGGGCGGTGGCACCGGCACCGCCTGGATCTCGACCCCGGCAGCGTTGGCGGGGGGCGGCCCCGGGGGGGCGGCGGCGCCCCCCCCCCATGGCCCCGGGCACCGAGCCGTTCTCCTCCGGCAGCGGACGGCCCCCGCCGCCCGCCTCACGGCGCCGGTCTATCGCCATCCAGCCGCCCGGGGTGGCTCACATAGGGGGGAGCTGGGGCAGCCCCCGCTCCCTCGCGAGTCCTTCCCTCCCTCTGCTCCGCGCGCGCACACACACACACACACCTTGCAACGTAAGATATTGCACACACGCTCCCAGCCGGACCCGGCAGGAGACGGACGGGGGAGGGAGGGAAGGAGAGAGGAAGGAGGGGAGGAAGGAGAGGGGCGAAGAAAAGGGGAGGCACCGAGCGAGCCCCTCGCTCGCTCCCTTCCTCACCCGCACCCTGCGGCCACGAACCGCTGCAACTGCCGGCGGTGCCCCCCCCTCCCCTCGCCTGTGCGTCAAGCTGCACTCATCCCAGCTCTCCCTTCCCCCTTCCGAGAGGCACAGCCGAAAATAAAAGGAAGGATCCAGCCGGATCCGAGCATGCAATGGGCCAAAAGAGAGGAAAGGAGAAGGCGGCGGCGATGGAAAAGGAGGAAAAAAGCAAAAACAAAACAACAAAACCCAACCACCCCGCGAACGAAACCCTGCAACAACAAACCGAGCAAAACCGGTGCAGCAAGGCACCGAACACGCCTCCTCTCCCCGTTTTGGTGAGGAGGGGGAGGAGGGAGAAGAGGGAAGGCGAAGGAAGGAGGAGAAGAAAATAACAGCTCCCGACACGGCTTCCCCGCTTCCCGCACAGCTAAGGGCTCCCCCCTGGCCGCGGCAGCAGCGGCGGCGGCAGCCTCCAGCACCTCCCCGCCGACCCGTCGCAGCCCCGCGTCCCGCACATCTGGCTCTGCAGCAAGGGGCCCCGTCGGCCCCTCCGCGGCCCGGGCTGCGGACGCGGACACCGCCGCGGACACCGCCACCACCACCGCCGCCGCCGCCGCCGCCGCTGCCGCCGTGCGCCTCCCGCGGCAGCCCGCTCCCCGCGCCGTGCCGCCGGCCGCACCTCCAGAGGCGGGCAGGCAAACCCGCCCGGCTCCTCGCCCTCCGCCTCCCGGCAGCCCCCACCTGCCAGCCCGGCCCCGGCGCCACCGCCCCCCGCTCCGCCCCCGCGGTGCAGGGCGGCCGCACC